TTTCCAGCCTTAACCTCATTTCTCTAAATAACCTGATTTTCTTGAGTGTGTTAAGGTAATGAGAGAGCATGCACATGTTGGCAAATGACCAACATCAGACACACAGGAGAGAGACATTACTTGCTTGCTTTCAGTGGAATCAAATTATGATGATATGATCATAAAAGTGGAATTAAATATGAACAAAACTGGGTATTAAAGTATTTTGATAGGATCACAATATTTCAAGTCTGTCTTAAAACTTCATGTTTATTGTAATCAAGCTGCAATTTAACCGTGACTAACTGTGAAAAAACGAAAGCCTTTAAACTCTCGATTCAGTACTTTGTAGAAGCTCTTTTGCCAGCGACTACAGTTACAGCATTTGTCTGCAAGGATCATGGAGGGTTGAATGACAAAAATTTTTATGTTAACTTAACATTTAAATTAAATCTACATCGCATTAAAATACAGAAAGTCAAAGGGTCTACTGCAAGTTAATGGGCACAAAACACAGTCCTGGTTTTGTGCCAAAATGTATTCTAATATGAAGCCATCTGAGTCAGATAAGTGAAGGCTTCCGAAGTAATGGTTGTTGTTTTTTGTACAAGATCCTACCTTTTTGTTCCTATGCCTTTGCTTTGTCACAGGGACACACTGAAAGTAGAATGTTTTATGGAAAAGACTTATTTGGGATCATATTCAATTGATTTTCCAACTGCTGAAATCTCAAACCAACTTCAGGTAAACTTTGGAAACAAAACACATTAGGAAGGAGTCTCTAGCAGGAGAAATGAGTAAAGCAAGCAAAACCAGCTTCGTTGTTCATATGGGCAGCTAACCATTGTTATAAGATTTTGTCTCTAAAATGTATGAACCTATCTTTTAACTAAGTTCTTATGTAGAATTCTTTAATGTATTGCATGTGATCTCATAAACATTTTTCATGCTGTGGTACATACAGTGTATTGTTTTATATTGGCTTGATTTGAACCACTTTGTGCCATATTAACAATGCAGAACTGACTAGTTTAGAGGTACAGTCGTAACTCGATAATCCGACACTAAATGTTAAAACCTTCTTTTATGTCAGATAGCAGACTGTCGGATTGTCAAGACCGAGGTCGAGATACAAGGAGGGCTTGATGCTTGAAGGGTAATTTGTTGTTAATATTTATTGTTTATAGTTGTTATAATAACTAGTGTATTGTTAGAACATTACGCATTGCTGGATTTCACACCTAATTGACCGGTGCACTTGTGCACCTTCCGGCCACTTCCACCCCAGGGGTGCTCTCCGACGGGGTGGAAGTGGGCGGAACGCACATGCCAGTTTAGAATAGCAGTCACAGTTCTGTTTCCAGCATCGGTGGTGGCGGCGGGGAATGGCGGATACACTCAACCGTTACCATCCGTGTTTACTTCCCTAAACACTGAGCACGCTCGCGGCGTGTGACATCATCGTGTCCTCTTCTGCACGAGGGACACTTTTGGGTCCTATGAAGTTCACGCAGGAGATCACATACAAGTCACATTTAATTGGGAATGTGAACAAAGTCGCAAAAAATAGGATTCCACAAAAAAATCTGAATTAAGCATTAAGTCCTGCAGTCTGACCGCAGCCAATCTGTCGGATTGTTAAGTCAGATAATATGCCGTTATCCTTATTTGTGATTGTGTGATAAAATGTCATGTCGGAGTCGGAATCCAAGGCTGTCGGTATGTTAAGGCTATTTTCTATGGGTTCTGTTCATTTTTCCTACAAACCTGTCGGATAGCAAGGTTTTCGGATTTTTAAGGGTCGGATTGTCGAGTCACGACTGTACTATGAATGCATGTAACAACAGTTTCTGACCATTCACAGGGTCTGTGCAATGATGCTGGAAAAAAGTTAAGGAAAAGAATTACAGATAATTGAGAGGAAATAGTGGCTCCAATGTAAATATGTAGAATGATCCTTAACATTTATTTATTACTTGGTTTATAGATGCGTTTTAAATGGAAACTTTACATTGGTGTGATTTGAAAGTATTAACAGGGTAATTGACAAGAACCCTTAAACAAGGGCTTTACAAAACCATGTGTGCCATTGGTCTGAAGTCTGTGTGAGGTGTGATTGGTCTCTCGTTAACTGTTGGGAAATGGCATATACATGGTTTTAATGTGTAGGCATTTTTTATGCATGTGGCCCCAGGACTCAAAATGAGTGTATTATTTACCAGTGTATACATATACATTGAGAAACAGAATATGGATATGAGATCATTCCCTTGTATGAGCATCACTCAGGGATTGAATTGCCTCTCATAATTGATGATATTTGGAACTGTTGTAACCTTTTAACTCATTTGAACATTCTTATTCTGGGGTAGTTTCTTAGCTCGCTCTATCACGCTGCTAAGGAGATACAAAAGCCTCTTTTCTTCAAGGTCAGTTTAAATTACTGCACGTATACACACACACACACATATCAGATTCTGAAAAGTGCCCCGTTGTTTTAGGCTTCCTTGAGCTACATAACCTGGCTAGATCCAGAGCTAGGTCCAGGTCCCTGTTTGCTGCCTGTAACACGTGGCGATGCAAATGAGGGCGTTTTGTGCGTGCTGTGGTGTCTTGCAGTGCCTTTGACATTTCGAAGCTTTCGGTTTCTTGGCTCGGGCAAATTGCAGAGAGCATTCACATGCGTCCCTGTGGGAGCCTGTGTGCAGTGAGTAGGATTAAGCAGGACTGCTGGCACTGTGAGCCTTGCACCGCCCTTGTCCTTGTGGAGTGAAGGAGCATGCAGGCTGCCTGCCTAATGTTAGCCTCACAAGCAGCCTCCTCGTCACACTTCATTTCACTTTATTTTTGCTGCTGCGTCAGCATTAAGGCGATACTACAGTCTATAGTGTCTGTGCTGCTTTGATTTACATCCGCTATGCTTCACTGTGACATTTGTCATGGGAAATATCATTAAGCTTTTTATCAGGTTATTATGCAGTAAGAGACTTTTCTGGAAGGAAATAAAGACAAATCTTTTCTTGGTGGCCTGTATGACCTGCATTGCTTTCTCTTTTGGCTTTAGTATTTAGATTTATTTGCACATAGACAATGGATTTTCTCCTTGCTGTTAGTCTCCCTGTCCAGATTGACTTTCTTCCTCTTGACCATATGGCTCATCCAACAGCACATGTTCTCTTAAAAAGCAAAATTGTAGGTCAGCAATAACTCATGTGTGTGTCCTTCTTGACTAATAGCAGTTTTTACAGGAAGGTCAACAGTGAAGGAGCTGTCAGGGTTCGAAGCTTGGCTATAGATTTTTGCCTTTAGGTATCCTTCTGTCAAGAATGCAATTCAGGCTAAGTTGGGGGGGAAGCTTTGTCCCTAGTCTCTCTGTACCTGTCATGCAATTAAGGTGGGCACGAATCACCTAATTTGACAAGGATATCAAAAGCCGCCTCTGTTCCAACAGTTGGAACAATCTGAGATTCTGAGAATTTGCTGCTTCTGTCTTAACCCTTTAAGTTAATATTTTTTTGGTCACAACAAGAGATTTGAGAACCTCACCTTGGACTAACAATGTCTATAACTGCTAGCTTTGTAACTCGCTGTTATTACTGAAAATTAATAGGTAAGTAGTTAGATGTATAGCAACCAGTTTAACCTTCAAACCATATTAAAGCTTAAGCACTTTGATTTGGAAAGAAATTCACATTTTAGAAGAAAGAAGAAAGACATGTTTATAATTATTCACTGAATCTCCACTCTTCTCTTTTTTCTGTAGCATCTGTACATTGCTTGATTTTGAATGGAGCAGTTTAGTTTGATCAGTTTGACCCTGTTGTCAGTGACATATTGTACTTGCATGGATGTCAGAAATAGCCTAGGGACTCTGTTCAGCTCCTGCAGAGCAGAGACAGCACGCAAGAAAATAGAGGAAGAGCAGAAAGAGAGAACACGACAACGACGGGGCTAAAAAGCAAAAGTGCACATCATGTAGGACAGTATCTGGAACAAAACGATACAGTGTACAGGATAAGGGGGAGTATTGTAAAAAGGTTGGAGCAGTAAGAGAAATATTTGAGATGTGAATGGTTACTGACTAAGGAAAGTGACAAAACAAAGTTTACTATCATGTCTTCATGCTAGGCCTGTGTCACTGTGACACGTATGAACTGGTGCGATGTGAGTGTGTGTGTTCACCTTGGCTCCTGTCATAGTTCAGTTTGACCTGATTTAGTTTACTTTCTGTGAGAAGGCCACTTTCAGAGAGGGAAAGAGTTGCTTTCTAAATCCCATTTTGTCACATCCTGGATGTCGTACAAACACAAAGCTTTGATTTCACGCCTCTCCTACCTTCTATAGGTGCATGTTGGTAAATGCATGGATTTGCACAATTGGGGAATGACATGGCATATAATTGCTTAATGTGAAAACCTTTGTTGTAAGTCTGTTAAACTAGTCCTTAAATGGGTATTTAGCATGCTAGTTGCCTCGTGTCTGCAGGCAGCTGCTGGCCATTAGCCGTTGGTTTGAGTTTGAGTCGCTCAATGACTCACTTGTTCTCTCAGTATGCAGATGAGAAGAGTTGAGAGCAATACTCTTGTTCTTTTCTCTGTGCCTCCTCACAGTGTAATTTGTTTTGACATATCTAGGGAAGCTGACAGGGGATGTAAGGTTAAGAAAATGTCTCATTTGCTCGCCAAGGTAAATAGCCACTATTCCCAAAAGTGATGAGCTGAAACCTGCTCTGATGAATCACTAGATTGTATTGCTTATGTAAAGAGGTGCACTGCAGTGTTATAGGTCTAACTATTGACTTCTTAATTATATTCGTACTCGTCATTATCTCCTGCAATGATAGTTAGGTAACTATTTGCAGTAACAATGACATTTTTAAATTGGATGTATGATTGATTTTTTTTTTGTTTTGTTTTTTTAACTTATGTCCTTTTTTCCCCCTTCCCTTTCTCTGCTTTCTCCTCATCTACCCTGTCTTGAAGTCGTTGCCAGGCAGCGGATGTCTCGTCGCCTCCCTCTGAGGTCAGAGGCCAGTTGGAGTTGGGAGGTGGGACCTCAGCAGCAGCAGCAGCAGCAGCAGTAATGCGGGCTTCGGTGGCAGGCTGCAGGATGAGCGTGGGTGCGCTCCTTAACGGGCTGCTGGTTTCTGTGGTTGCAGCTCTGCTTTGGAAGTATTCCAAGCTGAGTGAGCATGCTGCCTTGCTAGAGGAAGAGCTGCATATGACACAGCAGTCCCAGGAAGTCTCACAGGCTCGCATCGACTACCATGTAGCCCTGCAGGCTCTTCAGGAACATGGCACCCGCATGGTCTGTACTGGCAAGATGCACACCGACCGCATCTGCCGCTTTGACTACCTCTGCTACTGTTCTGAGGCAGAGGAGTTTGTGTTCTTCCACTCTAATTCCTCTGTCATGCTGCCTAACTTGGGGTCCAGGCGCTTTCAACCTGCCTTACTGGACTTGTCCTCGGTAGAGGATCACAATACCCAGTACTTCAACTTTTTAGAGCTTCCAGCTGCTGCTTTAAAGTTTATGCCCAAGCCTGTGTTTGTACCAGATGTGACACTGATCCTTAACCGGTTTAATCCCGATAACCTAATGCATGTATTCCATGATGACCTACTCCCAGCCTTTTATACCATGAAGCAGTATTCAGACTTGGATGATGAGGCTCGTCTTGTGTTCATGGAGGGCTGGGGCGAAGGCCCACACTTTGACCTATACCGACTTCTCAGTAGCAAGCAGCCGTTACTCAAAGAACAGCTAAGGAACTTTGGAAAGCTAATGTGTTTTACTAAATCTTACGTTGGCCTGTCCAAAATGACTACCTGGTACCAGTATGGCTTTGTTCAGCCACAGGGACCAAAAGCCAACATCTTGGTCTCAGGGAATGAGATCAGGCAGTTTGCCAGGGCTCTGATGGAGAAAATGAACATTTCAAGGGTGGATGAGGCAGAGAAGGATGGAGGGAGTGCTGAAGATGAAAAGGACAAAGAGAAGAAGGATGAATACATTGTTGTATTTAGTCGTTCAGCAACAAGGCTGATACTGAATGAAGCAGAGCTAATCATGGCACTGGCCCAGGAGTTCCAAATGAGAGTGGTCACAGTGTCCTTAGAGGAACAGTCTTTTCCCAGTATTATCCAGGTGATCAGCGGTGCTTCCATGTTAGTCAGCATGCATGGAGCTCAGCTTATCACCTCGCTTTTTCTCCCAAGAGGAGCTGCTGTGGTAGAGTTGTTCCCTTTTGCTGTGAACCCAGAGCAGTACACGCCGTATAAAACCCTAGCCTCACTTCCAGGCATGGACCTTCACTATGTCTCCTGGAGGAACACAAAGGAGGAGAACACTGTGACCCACCCAGACAGACCATGGGAGCAAGGAGGCATCGTTCACTTGGAAAAAGATGAGCAGGAACGAATCCTGGCAAGTAAGGATGTCCCCAGGCACTTGTGCTGCCGCAACCCAGAGTGGCTCTTCCGGATCTATCAGGACACTTTGGTGGACATCCCATCCTTCCTGGAAGTTCTCAGAGAAGCCATGAAGACCAAGCCCAACTTGAAAAAGGCCAAGGCAGCCAGCACAGTCCACCCGGGTCGGGTCAGAGAGCCCCAATGTCAGACTTCAGTACAAACCTCGAATGAGGCAAAACTTACAGTCTCTTGGCAGATCCCGTGGAATCTGAAATACCTTAAGGTAAGGGAGGTGAAGTACGAGGTGTGGATCCAGGAGCAAGGAGAGAACACCTACATGCCTTATATCCTTCCACAGCAGAACTACACTTTTTCAGAAAACATTAAACCCTTCACCACCTACCTGGTGTGGGTTAGGTGTATCTTCAACAAGAACCTCCTGGGTCCCTTTGCAGATGTTCTTATGTGCAGGACCTAGTACGAAAACAAGGCCAGTTTGGTGATGTGCAGTTCACACAAAAGTGGAATAATGCTTGTTCCACACAATCAAATTGGAACAGGGAACTGTTTGCTCACAGTTTTTCCTGTGGGAGTTAGCAAATGTCATAAGGCTTGTTTCTAGAGTCCAGGAACAGGCTGTTGAGCTCTTGCACAGTGATGTTTCCATGTCCAGCACAAAGTTCGAAGTGACTCCAAGATGAAGACTTGAACCACAGGGTCAGAACTCAATGGCAATAGCCATTGAGGAGTGGAAAGTATTTTTCCTGTATTTATGAAAGAAAGAAAGAAAGTGCTAAACCATGTCTCTACTGATATACCAGAATTCAAATCAGCAGATTTATTTATGTGAAAAATAATATATAACTTTTTTTAGTATTAGTCAAAACACTGGATCTTTACCTTTTACAGTATGCAATGTAGCTTCTCCGTGGTGAGCAAGAGAAATTTTAGAAAAGCAGGATTTTTTTATGTTTTCTGACTTGTCTAATGTCTACTGTGTGTGTGTATGTATGTGTGTGTGTGATACCTCCGTGGCTTAGTTTACCTACCGATTGTTAGATACATTATTTACAGAACTTAGCCAAAACCAAAGCAACTTTTCCCATGCAATTTCAGCCAATTATCATTCATGCCATATTAAATTCTCATGTTATAGATTTCTCACACTTGCAGTGTTTGCTAAGAACTATAGAATTTCAAACCTTATCTCTAAAAATGTTGTCATGGATTAATATAAAATTCATCAAGCAACATTGTTTTTATGAATTTACTGTTCATGAATTCTTCATGAACAGTAATGTGTGTATTTGACCCTGAGAGCTAAGGTATTCAGTATTATAGACCACTTCATGGATAATTTAATATCTTGAGGTTGTTCTTTTGTGTGTTATATTTATAACACTACAAGTTCCCGCCCACAAAAAATGTATGTCTGTTTTCCTGCAGAAATAGATATTTTTTTTCTTATTGGCACTAATTACAACTGTAATAATTATAATTTTCTGTGAAGCGTACATTTTTTTTTCCACCAGGCTGTAATTAGCATTAAGTAGTTTCCCTCCTGTACCCAGCAGAAGGCTGCTGGACAGTCGGATTTCACTGCCTTGTGTAAAAAGCATTTCATTAAGATAACAAGGTATTTTGCAGCTTAGGATTCCACCGCCTTGTGTAAAACTGTTAATTAAGATTAAATCCTCAGTTATGTGTCTTTTTACTTTCTTTCCTCAAAGGTTTTCTAGCTGGTCTGAAAAAGTCTAATGTTGAGTTTTAAAAGTAAACAGCAGACCCACAAAGCTGCCTGGTAAAGTTGTTTTAGTGTCATATGCAAATGTGCAGTTTATGGGCAGCGGTACGGCAGAAATGTGCTCATCTTTTAACCCCTTGAATTGCAGCTGTAGGTGGTGGCGGAGATGTAGCGAGAGATAGTTTATGGAATGGCACAACTTAAACAAAACACTGCCACCAACATATTGTGTTATATTGTGCCATTGTTGAAAGGATGTCATGCCTTTTCTGTCTCTTTTCTTTTACCTATCTCTCCGCCTTTCTCTTTACCCTTCTTAGGTTTCTCCCCATTTTCTAAAGTTCTCAAATGCAGTTTGTTTCAGTGCATGTCTAAACGATTATGTTATGCCATTGTTATGTATGCAGGATGTGATGGATTAGATTTCTGTGCGAGGACTATTAAAATTATTTTGATTCTGACATGTATGTGTTTATATTGTTGGTTAGATTTGTGTGTGCCCCTGCCCCACCTCTGTACCTCTGTATGTGCTGAGTGAAACAAGAGTCTCTGTTTTCTACATTAGCAGATAGCTAGAGTTTTTTTCAGTAACTGTGGTTTGAATAAAGAAACGTATTTCTTATTGTGTCTGTTTTCTTTCAGTTATATGTGCTATTAACATGATTTTCGAAGGAAAGAAATAAATGTTATAATAAATGAATAAATAAATCAGCTCATTACCTTTTATCTGAGCAATGGAACTTCATGTTGTAGCATTGTGTTGTCGAAGGCTTTTTCTAGCCAATCAAATACTGTAGTTTGCATTTTCTCGCTTTGAAAAGGTTAGATTAAAGTCTGTCTCGTTCCATCTTAAGATGGCAGCCCAGGTAGAAATTGTCAGGGATCTAATTACTAACTTTGTGTTAATGCAGTAGTTCAACATTTTGGGAAGGTATGATGATCTGTTTTTGCAGCCTCAGGCAACTATGTTTGGATGAGAAGGATAATCTGATGAAGGACCTGAGAAGACTGTGCACACCCATGTGGTAGTGACCTCCTAAAGTCTACCCTGCTATATTGTCTGAGTGTAAATGGGACCATAATTTACAAAATGAACATAGAAATTAACTAATTTGAGTGATTGTCTCATTTCTTTCTATACAATAAGACTTGTTCAAATAATAGTCTACATCAACCATAAAGGTGACATGTTAATGCTGCATTTACAACTTGGCCTTTGCTAATATAGTTTTAAGACGATTATTTCAGGTCTCTGGTTTCATGAGTTGTGTTTCATATGTTGAATATTTTTGATTTACTGCGTTTCAGTAAATTGCCCAGAATCAGTTATGGGACCAGGTAGTATTATAGCATAGCATTATAGAAAGTTTTTCACAATGGGATAAAATGAAGCTCACCTACTGATTTGTTCCTCGTCTCTAAACAGATAAAGGGCTAGCTGTCATCCATAATACCTCCCTGCAAGGAAACTTTCTTTTCAGAACCTACTGTGCACTCAAAGGTCAGTGGTCACAGTCACCTGCCTCGTAGCTGAGGGTTCCCATGTATTACTGAACAACACTTCCACAGTGCAGATGCTTGTTGAAGTCGGGCTTTAGCCCATTAGAGCAAAACAAATGAACTGCCCATTCTTATCCTACGGTTTCATATAATAAGAGTGGAGGGGAGCAACAGGCTCCTACAGTGTGAGTAAAACCGTTTCAATTATCGTCACCATTTAATAATTAATTTTGCTAAACCACTTATTCTGTTGCTGTGGGCTGGAGCCAATCCCAGCATGCATCTGGCAGAATGCAGGGAGTAATCAGAACTGCTTGCCAGTGCTTTTGTGGGACTAGTGTCCAATGTCCAACACACTTATTGTACACAATCAGACAGCGGTTGGAAACACAAACTCAAAAAACATCAGCAGACCAGAAGCTGGCAGTCAAACCAAGTTTGTATGTAAATCAGTTTTTTGTGCTAGTTATTGTATTATTTTTGTAATTTTGGCCATAATGAAAATGTGTACTGTCTATGAGGTAAACACACACACAAGTAGTCACACAATTATTATATTTCCATAATATCAAAACCCTTTTTTTAGAAGCACCTAAAATACAACAAATTATTCCTCATTGCACAAGAAAACAGTGTGTGTTCAGCATAATACAAAAATTTACTACAGTGAGCTAGTTACATTTTTAAATGCTGCTTTTTTTCTTTTTTCTGTTTTCAAAAATGAGCTGCATCCACATGGAGGGCAGAAAACAAAGCCTGCCACACAAAGGCAGTAAAGAAGAAATGGCATATTATTTTGTGTGCATTGTTTATTTCAGGAGTTACAACAATTTCAGCGAAGGAAGCATCTGAGTCATGGCTGCATGGAAGAATAGCAAGAAAGTCTGTGTTTAAACTAGGCTGGGACCAAAGAGCAGAAACACAGACACAGGCCAGGCAGAGTGTGGCGAAGTAAATGTATGAGCACAATGAATATTAAAATCTGAACTGAGAGTCTTTGGAGAATTAGGGCTGAACCATAAGGAGACAGGGCAGAAGCTGGGACAGTCAGGAGAACAGAGTTGTGGTTTGGATGAGGGAGCAGAGCAGAGCAGGCTGAGGCTGGAACAGGAGGTCAGTGACTTAGGCCAAGCTCTCACATTAGTTCTGGCCCCACTTCTCTGTTATAGGGCTGTGGTCTGACCCAGTGTTTGGCTTGGATTATCTGGTCATATGAAGGGTTCACAGATCCAGTCTTAACCCTAAGCTGCTTGCAGCCTCACCCCAAATAATATCAAGCACATTTGATATTTAGGAGTGACCATGGGGACAAGTATGAATATCATGGAAGAACCTGGAGCAATGGACACTGCTGACAATCAGTGCTAAACTTTTTAGCCCATGAAACTAACCTTAGCTACAGAAATTAAAACTAATACAATATCACCTCCAGTTCTTGATCATGAACTGATCACATCTTCCAAGCCATTTTCCCATCCAGGCTTTTTTTCTTCTTCTCACTGCATCATTTGAGTTAAACCAAGTTGTTGCAACACAGTCTTTATAGTGTTTTTATCTGTGACCCCATGAGACTAGTTGCCTCTGCCATGATAATCTTATATCCTGTAGTGTATGATGTGCTCTTATTTTCCGATCTTGCAGTGTGTGTGCATGTCTAAGATTAGAAACAAGAATATCTGAAAAGTTTCTCCTTATATGAGCGATGCAACCCCATTTCAAAATCTCCTCCTGTGATGTGGGGCCGACCTTAACTGAGACTCGGACTTGGCGGTAGAACAGAGCAGGCTGAAGCAGGAGCAGGTGGGGGAACTCGACTGAACCTGGACTAGAGGTGAGCAGAGCCGGGTTGAGGAAGGGGCAAGTAGGGAATCTAGGTTTGTAGAAGGCAGCGTTGCAGTAAGTAGGTCCAGAGAGATTTTCCAAAGCATTAGGAGGGAGATGGAGGCAGGTCAGGCACATGTGTAACAGAGTCTACGATCTAGCGACGAGTGGAGATCTGAGCCGGGATTTTACAGCAAAGGAGAATAATGAGTAACAGGTGACCTGGCCGCCCAAGCAGCTGTCTCCACTCCTGCAATTAACACACCGACCCACAGAGCTGGCACTGAGGAAAACAGAGAGAGGGAGGGAGGCTGCCGATAGGCTGAAGCAGAGGACGAGACTGACTGCTTTTGAAAGCTACCATGAGCATAAAGCCACAAAGCATTTTTGTTGTTGGGTTTTTCATATTCCAGTTTCATGTTTGGTTTAAGAAGACAATGGAACACTGCAACAATGCCCCCATCAGCTTTGTCACTGATACGGCAGAGGTACTACAAAGGTCCATTTTCTGCCCAAAACACTGCAACACCAAGCCAATGTTTTTCAGAATTACACTCTGGGTGTGTTTGCCTGGCTGCTACCATCCTGGGTATGGTTGGCTTTTTGGTGTATCCTGGTTCTATGTTACACATGTAAACACCACAACCTGATTTGGAGAAACCTGGATTTGCTAAATATAGTACATGGGGCACTCCCATAGAAGCTGGGATACTGCAGCATCGAAGTACTTTTTTCAGTTTCTCTGCTGGTTAAGATTATCATGGCTGTGATCATGGGTAGTTACAAACTACACACAGATGATCATAAACTTGGACACTGTACTGACTATCTATTCAGGGAGATGCATGAACAAGGATCTCATGTTCTATGTAAATGCTGCATCATCCCCAATATGATGAAAACCAAGATACAAGCTCACATATATAAATGCTCTCATCCTGGAACCTGTTTCAGAAAAGTCCAGTTGGAATTTGCCCAACTTAGGGGCAATATGGTTTTAGAAGAACACAACCTTTTCTGGATTGTGCAGAAATAAATACATTTGAGGCATGTGGAAGGCAAACTTCCCTGAAAATTGTCACATCCTACCTTCCAATACCTACAGTTTAGTTCTGCTAGACCCTGAGTTGCTGACTGGCCCGGTGCTGCAAAGGTTCCTTTCAAAAGTTATGTGATGTTCATTGTCTTGGGTGTTAGAGACATCTACTTTTTGCAGTCCAATGGATAAGGTGTCACTAAAAGTCCACCCACAAATGGTCAGAGTAAACTCTATATATTAAAAAAAAAATCCTTTTCAGACATAGAATATGTAAAATTGCTGACTTACTCAATGTATTGACGGCATTCTGTCATTTAGACAAGTTATGTTAATGTTTCTTACAACAGTGATGAGAGATCGTGATCTTTGCTACGCATGCAAGATTGGACATTAAATCAAGTGACATGTAACACATGGGATCAGAGTTTTCATGCTGTAACATGACAGTCTATTTTTAAAGCAACAAATGGGATTAAGATTAATGTCACATCCTAGACTGTCACCCACTCTAACAATGTCCTACATCTGAATGCCTGAAACTTGTGCATACTTATCTGGTAATGCGACTACATGCAGATTAGACTTGTGCCATGCTGAAAGTCATATGTAAGTGCTACTGAGTCTGATTTAGTACGATTGCGACTCTTGCAGAACAGTAACTAGGGTTCTCATTAAGAAGTTCAGCTGCCTTCAGATTAATGGAAAGGAGTGCATGTCTGAGGGGGCTTAATAGAGGTCAAACCCACAGTGCCAATCAATGTGCATATGAATAAAGGCAATTACATACAATTAGCCAACAGAACAATGGGCTGCATAGTTAGAGGCTGGGCCAAGTTTCAGTGCAGCCAATTTTACTGTTAAGGAAAGGCACAGCATGTGAGAGCACAGTAAGCAGATATGGTAATGTTGTAGAAAGGTGGGGAAAAGGTAAACGCGTACGGTTTTACATTTGTGAAAGCACAGGCTAATAGCTGGTATCATTGAAATGGTTTAACGTTTATAATATATTGTATCCAGTCTTCAATGTACTAAAGACCAGCAGGAGTTCGGCTGTTAGAGGCCAAGTTAGTAGTGAAAATACAGCTCCTATAGTTAATTCTCTCATATAAATTCTACAAAAAGAAGCAGGGCTTACACAGGGTCTGATTTATACACCACTCTGAGTAGCTGATGGCCGATTTATAGGCATCATACAGCTGAGACACACTTTTTTTGTGAGACACAACTTCAGAGACTCTGCAGTTCTGCAACCCTTTGACAGT